AAAGTTAATTAACTAAATCAATTAACAACAATGATATTGCTACTTTTGAATCCAATTACATTTTCATTTACTAACAATCATCAATAGAGAGCAATTTTGTCTATTTATCTATTATACTACTACTACTAGTACTTTTTTATCAACACGATAATGGACTAATTGCTGAAGATTCGTATGAACCATTCATAATTCACGATACGCTGAAAAAAACGTGAATCAACTATGACTTATATGGGATGCAAATATTAAATTATGAGTCTACACATGTGAATCCCATTGAAACTAAAAATTCAAAATATCTTTATTTAAATAGGCGGTTGCGCGTTCTTATAAATTAAATTTTATATAAAAATTGATGCAAAGTTCGTAAGTCTTCGGTTCTTATAAAAAAAAAAGTCTTAGTTTTTTTTTTTTTATAGTGAAGTACAATAATATTATACTGCTAAATTGTAAAAGCTCACCATCGTTCGACCGTTAACCCTTAAAGGTAACCGATAGATTTAACTACTTTTTACGACTTGAATGTCGAAACATTGGACTATTGCCACCGGGACAAGCATTTGTATGACATACAGATAATTGTTCCCGATTTCACTTGTATAACGCATCTGTTAGTAATCAATTAGTTAATAAATATAATAAATATTTTTCGGACATATTTTTTACAGAACGTTCTCTAGTCCTAAACTAAGCAACGCTTGTGCTACACTAGAAAAGTGATAAACTTACTTAATCATAATTATTTTCTTTTGTAAATAAATACATATTATACATATATAAACACAATATTATACATATTATATAAACACAATATTATACATATTTATAATGTGTTAATAATTTAAAAATAAATCTTAATACGTATATAGACGGTATATACTTGTGTAGAACAACGACCTACTGGATTCTACGACCGGTGCCCAATCTGTGTCGAAGCCTGTTCCCTGTCAGAAGCACACGCTTCGATATGACGTACAGTGTACCAAAATTACAACACACCGCCCTAGTGGCCCGCCAATGTTAACTTCTGGTCGGGCACTGGCGTTTTACATCCGAGAGTAGACTTTGGGCAATATCCGCTCACGGTTCAAGGGCCGACTTTTCGCGTGGACTCACAGAGCACCGACACGCCAGAGACGATGTGGCATAACAAGGAATTTATTTTCTAAAGGCAATCAAAATTGCCAGATTTAATGATTTATGATTTTAGTGTTCTACGTAGATGATGAATATTTGAGTTCCCTTTTGTAACGATTGCTTTGCAACAAAAATTTTTGACTTTTATTTAGTTTAGCCCTCACTTTGATTTGCAATGACTTACGATGTAATCCAATGAATAAAGAATATTCACTTTAATAATTATATAATTAACGTATTTGTTATACAAACTAGGCTCTACTAACCCACAGTGTGGCGCTGGAGGCAAATTAAATAATAACGTTAAATAAAATCGCCCTGGATTACAACACATAACTAAGACCTAATGATATAACACGCGTTAAAAACCTAGGTAACATAACAGATCACCGTTTAGGCTACAGATCCCGTAGGAGATAGACATAAAATAACAGCATATAAATGTCCCACAGCTGGGTAACGGCCTCCTCTGTACAGAGGGTATCAGGGCATAGTCCACCACGCGGTCCCATTGCGGATTGGCGGACTTCATATATCTTCGAAATCTTTTTTTTATATTATTTCAAAAACATGCAGGTTTCGCTACGATACTTTCCTTCACCGCTGCGCAAGTTATAATTCAGCTATCGAAATTAACAATTTCATTGGAGCCGGCACCGGGGATCGAACTCAGGTAAATAGAAGTAAATAGAATTAAAAGCTAGCGCCCGGACAGTGAGCTATCACGGCTGAGATGTACATATCATGATCAGACAATACCGTTTTGCCTTATACTTTCAAAAAAACTCTCGGTCGTTTAAAAATAAAGTATCATGCGATTTTAAAGATCATGGAAATTAAATTTAACAACTCTCAGGATCGTTAAAATTACGAACAATGACCGACCAACGGTCTAGCGTTTGATTGGTCTGTGCGGGCGGCGAAAGATGCGGGACACGTGGTGTGGGTCGGTGTGGGCTGTATGCAAACAATGGATTTTGGCGGGACCATATTAAAACAACCGGCCAAGTGCGAATCGGACTCGCGCACGAGGCGTTCCGTACCGTTATCTATAAAAGCGGCAAAATATCATGTCTGTCGTATGGAAGCCCCACTTAAATATTTTTTGATACTGTTTTTTAGTATTTGTTGTCATAGCGGCAACAGAAATACATCTGTGAAAATTTCAACTGTCTAACTATCATGGTTCATGAGATTCAGCGTGGTGACAGACGGACAGACTGACAGTAATAGGGTCCCGTTTTACCCTTTTGGTACAGAACCCTAAAAAATACGCACTCGATAGATGGACTTAGGGCGCCCACGTAGTTTGGTTAACTGGCAACATCGCAACACCGAATCGGTTGTAAATGTGCCAAGTCGGCGTGTGTTTGTCTGTGTGTGTCGGCGATATTGAAAAACTTCTTTTGTTTATGCATCGGGTGTTTCTTTCGGACTCTGTCGAGTAACGTCGATCGATCGCTAGAATGGTTGGCTCGATATCCGTAACGTACCGTTGAAGAATTGGAATGTAACTTTTGAATCGATCTATGAAGGCTGCCAAATGGCTTGCTTTCACGGCCTTAGAGTTAAACGTACTAGAATATGTTTTCAAATACATGAAAAATAGCAACCATTATAACCTAGAAAGACGTAAAGTAAAAGTAAGTTCGTTGTGCTTATTTATATTTTTATTTCAAATACCACGATTTCCGTGAACGCTATGGCTATCCAAGTTATTAATTGGTTCATTGGTGAAGGAGGATTTTGAAGAAACCCGCATATTTTAGATTAGGTTTTAGTATCAGGATATACGTTTCCCACAGCTGGGCAAAGGTCTCCCTGTACAGAGGGTATAAGGGCATAGTCAACCACACAACCCCACGGCGGATTGGCAGACTTCACATTTCTTCGAAACATTATTTTTTCTTTTTTTTTTCTCAGAGATAAAAGATAAGTTTTTTGTTTAGTACTTTTCTGTTCTCTGTTTCAAGTTTCTTTTATAGTGTCGTGTTTACCTATAATTTTAATATGTACATATTATATTGTTACAACTTAATGATTGAGTGAAACCTATTTCTATGTCAATGTTCTATATGTATTTAGTTCGTAAGCCTTAAGAAATAAACAAAAAAAAAACATGCAGGCGTCCTCACGATGCTCTCTTTCACCGCCGAGCACGTGATAAGTGAGCATTTAAAACGTCATTGGTGCCGGCACCGGGATTCGAACTCTGGTCGAGCACGATCTATTAAAAGCGAGTCACGAGACACTGAGCTATCGGCAGGCTCTCTCACGAGTCAGTGGAAACGCGGTGAAATAATACCAGGTAAGCGATTTACGTAATAACCAAATTCCGGGAACATTAATGCGTTTCCCTTGACGCCATTGACGTCCGAATCGGGACGCGCCGCGATCGGGGCGGCTAATACATAAACGATTGGATTTCGGGACTTTCTTGTCATTCATCAAACACTGCCAAGAAACGCTATCAGCAGCACGTTTCGTGGTATTGCAACAATATGAGTTATTTTGCATTCAACGAATCCGTGTATACATTCGCAAGAATAGTGATACAAATAGATAAAGACAAAAGAGTTCAGAAAATTTAGCTAATTAGGCGAAATTTAGAGTTATCAGTTAAAAAGATTGAAACAAACACAGAGTGCGTTATAAATTAGTGTAAGTCACTACTTATGGATATAACGATATATTTTCCATACTAATCTGACCACGGTCTTCGAACGTAACTGTAAGATGTCTTGGTTAAAATAATACTAGCTAACGAATTCCATGGAGTTTAAGTGGTTTTATAATATGACCCTTTTTACAGCGTATGTGGTCACGGAACACAGACTGTCTGACAAAATAGAAGCAGTTAAATCTGTAAAAAGTTGTGTTTAAACACGTTTAGTATTCGCGTACATACTAGAAGTACTCAAATATGTTATAGTACAGTGAGACAAATCAAGTACCAGAGTGTTATAAAAGCAACAATATAATTTATAGCATCATCACCGTCAACAGTTTGCTTGCTTTAATAAAATATATACTAGCATATATAGTAATATATAGCAGTATATTGGTATTTATATTAAGGCTAAGTCCTTCAATTATGTCCATCAAGGACTTGTAGGATTTCACTCACACAATTCAATCGGATAGTTTGTCTAATACATACCGCGATACAAAGATCTATAATGGATAGGACTTTATAATGGTTAACGCTAAGATAAAAATCAAGTTTATGTAACTGCTATGAACACATGACTGCCGAGGCTTTATCGGTGATTTGTTGCCATGTTTGTTCGTATAAAAAAATGTATGCATATAGGAAGTATGAACGAATAATGCCGCATTAATGAACGTCTAATTAACTTTCTTTTCAATAAAACTTAATTAACAGATACGTATAGAAAGCTGCAAACAATTAGTGCAGTTAAATTTCACATAAAACCTTGTACCCAGAAACGTTGTTTAATCTCTAAATTATTTCTCAAAGGTCTTTTTTATCGGAACGCCATAACTTACATAATTCTTCGTGAAATTTAATGATCCGAACATCTCCATAAAGCTTAATTATGTTTGCCGCTATAGACAAATGGAATACAGTCTTATTTTAAAAAAAAAACTTTCGTTTAAAATTTTCTTACAAAGAATGTATGATAACTTGATCTATAGGTATAGACAATTTGTTTAAAAAAAATTACCGGAGTAGACGGAAATACCTAATCCTTCAAAATAAGATATCTACCAATGCTAAAATACTTACTAACATTATTATAGACAATCTCGCACGGGTCGACTAGTTGTTTTGAATACGTCAAAACAGTTTCGCCTTCGTATTCATAGAAATAGAAAAAAATCGATCACAACACACTTACTAGGCCCAGTACTCCTCCCAGGCCGCCTTCTCCTTGCTGGAACCGTAGCCGCGCGGCAGCGTGGCCGTCCTGCCCTTGCCGTTGAGCGAGGTGGGCGAGCCCCTCTTGTCGGGCAGGCCGAGGGCCGAATGCCGCTGGCCGTTAGCGGGTTCGGAGCGGAACGAATGAAAGGACGCCTGAGAGGCGGAGTCGTCTGACCTCAGGCTGGTCTGCGATCCGCGCAGTCTCTCGTTGCGGTGCAGTTCCGAGTAGCTGACCCTGTCATCGTTGAGGTCGCTGTGCACCCTGGCCAGGGGCGGTCTGGGCGGCTGCCTGCGGGTGTCCAGGGTCCCCGCCCTGTTCAGCGAGGGGCTCCTCTTCTGAGCCCTGGGCGACTCGTGCACATTGAACACGGACGTCATCTTCGACTCCTTCTCGAGGTCTATCTCCTGTTCGAGCTGCGTCTGCACGTGGGCCAGCATCTCCTCGAGATCGCCCAAATCCGGATCGAGGTTCATCTTCATGCGGCGCATTTTCGTTCACCACCGTGTAGCACGTCACTTCTTCGTTGGCACTACTTTCAACCGACGGACAATAAGTCGACCGGTGGGCTCTCGGCTGTCTATTGTTTGCGGCACGAAAAGAAAGTAAACAATGCCGAACCCAATAACGGTCCGACAGCGTGGTGTTGGAAAGAGAAAAAATATATAAGAGAGATAGACGAAACGCGTGCGCCCGCGCCGGCCGCCTGCGCGCGAATGACACAGTAATCGCGTCTCTGACAGGTAGCCTCAATGCCCTTCAGTCGTTATCTTTTGACATCCGATAAGTAAGCAAGCTCCGCACGACGCTTATTCAATTATGACCCTTAATTAGTTAGTTTTAAGGCGCGAAACGATTTAATCGCGCCTGCAATATGATCGATCGAATGTCGAAACATATCCCGCCGAGCCGATTGGCTCGTATTTCGAGTGGAAGACGGTTGATTCTTGAACGGATTGCGGTTTCAACGTCGGCAAGTAGGTTGGCGTTTTAAAAGGAAAGTAGTTATTTCCTTCATTGCTCGCGTACCGATTATTCGAGTATTAATGGGACAAATTAGAGAGGTCCGCACTAGTTCGTGCGGTGCAAAAAGCGGTATTATTATACGAAAGCTCATCGGTACACGTTATCAGTCGATTCGTGAGCGAAGACTTTACGACTGAGGATTTACGGTTACTTTTGCCGCGAACGGTGGACAATAGGTCGGCGGGGTCTAAAGACTGTTTTGGTCGTTTTACTTAGACAATAATAACCGAGGCCAGGCACTCGAAGTTGATCTTTGAGAAGTGTAGGGTTGTAACTTTTTTAATAACAAGCTCCCGGCGTCGAAGCATCAAGAGCATCTCGTTCCGTTACCGTGCGAAACTTTAAAAACTCGTGGCTCTATACTATATGGATACTAAAAAATTCTAACTATCGGACGACGATAGGCGTTGTCACACGTCTTATATCCTTCAACGATCTATAAATGAAAAATTTATTAAATTAAAAACCTTTTGTAGTGGACCGGTTTGTGAATCAAAAGCATCGTCGAAACTTGAACACACACAAAAAATTTCATCAAAGTCGTTCCGGTTTAGCAGGAGTTCAGTTACATACACACGCACAGAAGAATTATATATTATACTAGCGACCCGAACCGGCTTCGCACGGGTGCGATGTATTGTACATATAAACCTTACTCTTGATTCGCTCTATCTAGTATAAAAAACCGCGTCAAGACCCGTTGCGTAGTTTTAAAGATCGAAGCATAGGGACAGACAGACAGCGGGATGATTTTGTTTTATACCATGTAGTGATAAAGATTAGCATCGAAATGCAGTCTTTGTTTAGTAACCATTATATTGAATGTACAATAAAATGAAAATGCAATTCGTCGTCATCATTACGGCCATGTTACTTGTCCTTGCAGACTTGAAGTAAAGACCGCCACGAAGGTCGATTGAGAACCCACCTGCATTCAAGGCTTCTGGAACTTTGTAAATCGATCTTATATTGCAAAATTTACCACAAAAACTTGAAATATTCCTTATGCTGTTTGTAGGAGCAGGCCAAATATAACAGACTAATTTGATAATTGTTATAACATGCAATAGCGGAGAGCTTTTCATTCCCGCGCACGATTTTGATATCCTAACCGCGATCTAATGTTTATTTCAAAATTATCGTTTCTGTACGAGACGTGAATTTGTGCGAGCCACAACATAACAGTCCATTCGAAGTAATTAGCTTGTGTCTGTTGTGGGAATTTAAAAATCTAATTAAACGCGATAAAACCCGTGAATTACTTTAATTTAACAATTATTTTAGTGGTTAGAACATATCGCACCTTTAGAATTATAGTGACCTATTTAAAAATATAAATTTTTGGGAAACGTAAATTAAGGATTTGTGGAACTTATGAACAAACGCGCTAATTGAGGGGAAGTGAAAGAGACAGAAATATACGTTATGTAGCTTTCTAAAATCGGCCCATGTTTTAAAAGGATTCGAAAAAGGTGGTCGTTTTAGGTCGTTTCCTGACATAAAGACATAAAGCCAAAATCATTTTGATTGATTTTCATAATTAGGTTAATTCTAAAGATGCGATATACTTATATATAAAGTTATGGGAATTCAATATAAACGTGCTACACGCCGAGTGAAGTTGTAATGTTTTCGTAGTAACCGTTTTGTGGTGAAGACGTAGTTAGCTTACGATTAAGAACTCATTACGAGTTTGGCGAATACCATAGCAATCATCGAGATGATGTTATAGTAACTGTCATCTGTATGAGACAGTGGGGCCGCTCGATGAACCAAAACAGCGTCCGACAATAACAAGATATTGGCTCTAGTGTTGTGTGCGACGCGATTTTGAATTTATCGATATTATCGATTCTCTCGATATCTTTTCATATTCTGGTGTAAATGCAAATGGAGTTAAATTACTCAAAAATGCCCGTGAGTGCTTGAAACGAGTCAAAACTGGGTAAAACTACTTTGACTTCGCTTTGTTGTTCGACCATTACAAGCTCACGACTAAAGTCATCAAATGTTAAATACGTAAGAGTCATAGTCAAATTAAAACAAATCAGATCGAATCGTTAAATATAATAATAAAAGTCTTGCTATTATTTGTATTTCAATTATCGGTATTAAGTCGATTTTGTTTATTTATAAAATGATTCTATCTCATTTACTTCTCGTTTTTTATTTACGACAATTCCCGACATGATACTCTGTGAATGGTCACTGGACCTACATGATAACTCAGCGGTGTGAGTTTTACATTTCACATCCAGCTATAAACGCATACAAAGGTGGACGAGATTTTCGAGGGGTGCCCCGTGGCTAGTGACGAGGCTTTACGCACTTAAAATACAAAAACATCGATAATAAATCGAACACAGAAACGACAGACATATTTGAATCTTGGAGAGTTAGCGGAACATCCCTAAGGTCACGAACGCACATCCATTTCATTAAATCCTGTGACGTCACGGGCAGCCAACTTCGGCGCTATCTAATTGTTGCCCGTCCCTAATTCGCGGAGATACGATTTAATCGACGCAGTAAGAATCGGTCCGTTTGATTATTCATATTTTTTTATTTATTTGTAGAGGTGACATTGGGGTAGCCGGAGCCCGATCTATTGAAGTAGATCTAGAAGATAGTTACTTAACAAATGCAGATCTTTATTCAAAGAAGTGTTACACTGATATATTGATTGTCGAAATATTACCACTGGTTCGGGAAAGAAAAGCCACCTACTTAAGAAGAACCGGCGAAAGAAACACAGTGGGACATGCCTTTTTTCTACCATTCCGTCCGAGCAAACGGAAAACCAAATTGATAACCATTTTCAACCGATTTCAAAATAAGAGGAGGCACTCAATTCGGTTGTTTTTTTATGTTTGTTGCCCCAGGCCTCCGTCATTTATGAACCTATTTTCAAAAATTTCTTTTTGTGTGATTTACAGAATAATATTTTTTATCCTCCGAAGCATAGAACATCATATGCACTAATACACTCGTCTCATGTATATGTATATTCATGTATTAGTATGTATTAAGAACTATTACTTATTTTAGTCTGTAAGTTAATTTTTATTGCACACACCTACCTATTTTCCTTTGATTACTTATTTATTTTTAATTATTACTAAAGGTTTGCTGGCAGAAAACGTCTTTTTTGTAATCCATTATTTGTAACTGTAATTTTTTTTGTGTACAATAAAGAATAAGAATAAGAATAAGAAAATCTGCGCCGTGACCATGAACGCTGTAAAGGGTTCCAAACGTCGTCCCGTGAACTAAAACTAAAAAAAAAAACTCGATAAATCCGTAAACATCGTTTCGTTTAGTATTGTGTAATCGCGTAAATACAAAAAAATCACTATGTAAATTCTTTTAGCATTGGGTTCGGTTCCCATGTGCCAAGAGCACTACTGGGGAACTCTTCAAAATCAAATAGAAAATGTATGAGTGAATGAGATTTTAATAATATAATCGATAAAAATCAATGACGTTTATATAGGTAATTATAGATGACGCATGTCCATACATCGCGGCGTGTAAAAAATTGTTCCGCTTTACATTATATGACATATATTTAAGGGAATGTCACATGTGATATACAACATATTATACGGAAAGAGATAGTCGTCTAGAGAACTGCAATTTAATTACACCAATTGAATTAATTAAATTGCAATTTTGACCACGGCGCTTCCATAACAGCTTGAAGCATACGTGGGCGGGTTTAACCGCCATCCCATTACTCGAGGTACCAGGGCCGTATAAACAGAAGGAACGCATCGCGTCGTACGCCGAGCAAACGAGGTTCCGCCGCGTCTCCATACAAAAGCTTTGAGACCCGAGCGAAAGCTCGGCGGGGCGGGCTTCCATTTGAGATCGTGAGATGGTACGTTCCGAGAATTGCAGTTAAAACTCGAACGAGATTGGCTTTCTAGCTGTGACCCGACCGCGGCGCGGTGCCCCGATTTCTCCTCGCCTCTCGCCTCCCGTGGGTTACGGATACGTGGATACTTAAAGAATAACAATACATAAACTAATATATATATATATAAAAAAAATTATAACTCTGTAGCTCTGTTGCCAAGGTGTTGGCTTCGGCGTCGGGGGTCGTGGGCTCGATTCCCACACGGGACAAATATTTGTGTGACCCACATATAGTTGTTTCGCGTCCGGGTGTTTGTCCACGTGAAATTTATGTTTGTAAAACTTTCTTACAACACAGTATAATGTTATCCTAAAGTAAGGGCAATGTTTTTATTTTAAAATAAGATAAATTTGACTTTGGTAGGAACACGCATCAGTTCGCTGTTGCACGAATGGGCAGGTCCGTCCGGGGAAGTACCACCACATCATAGGAGACCGGCGCGAAGTGGAAGTGTTACACTTCTTTTTTTTATGTGAAAAGTTGCCAAACTAGCAGACGGTTCACCTGATGTTAAGTGAATACCGCCGCCCATGGACATCTGCTATACCCGAGGGTTCCAGATGCGTTGATAACCTCTTGAAAATTGGGCTCCGGCCACCTCACTCACCAGACCAAACGCGAAAGTATTATACTTCCACTTTACGCCGGTCTTCTGTGAGGTCTTGGTATTTATCCGGACGAGTCTACCCATTCGTGCAACAGCCGAGACTGCTGCGTGGCCCTACCACCGTGATAAAATCACTTAACAGGAGGTGAGTGAAGTAGCCGGGGCCCACTTTATTAAAAAGGTGGCAATGCATCTGCAATCCTACGGGCGTTGCAAATGTGCATCAGGTGAACCGCCAGCTCGCTTGCCACGTTCTCACAAAAAATATATGAGTGTGTCTTTTTTTTAATTTTGAATTTTAAAAAGATAGACACATAAGTAAGCACCTAACACGAAGTGAGGACCGAAAATTGAAAGTGCGGCATTCCGGTAACCTCACACACAAGCTTAATTAAAAAAAGCTATTACTAACCCCCGCCCCCCCAACCCCCCAGTCTCCTTTTACGAGGCCTTATCTTTCCTAATGATCTAGTCTGCCGGTGCTGTCGCAGCGATTACGCAAGTTATTGTTGCTATAGTTGCTTGTAGTTATTATTCTACACAGCTTAAAAAAGCTACGAAAGTCGTGAGTTTTTTAGGGTACCGTGCCCAACGGGTAATACGGAACCCCTTTTTCGCGAGTCCGACTCGCACTTGGCCGGTTTTTCCAATTACGCGCGTTCAAAAATCACCGTCATACATTCGCGCACAAATTTAATACATTCTGTATGGGGGCAACTTCCCCAAAGCACTGCGGAACGATCCAAGCTATCTGTGATCATTGAAATTTAAGTTAATTACTCCTTCACCCACATTGTCGTAGGCGAAGGACTAATTAACTAACATTTCACTAATTGGGGTCCGCGAAATAATCGACTTTTTTATAATCATAATAAAGGTTTAATTCAGTCAACCATATGAGCGAAACACTAAGTATTTTATTTTATTTTATTTTATTATGTATGGAAAACTTACAGCTAACATATAACTATTAACATATAAATAAATAGAAAAGAGATAGCCATTTACATCAAAGCCATTTATGTCAAATAAATTTCTTTCTTTCTTAATTGGGGTCCGCAAAATGATCGAAATTATTATAATCATAAAGGTTAATCCATTCGGGACTTTATATTACTTAACATTTTTAACATCACAAATTACAAACTCAAAGAGGTTTGTAATATGTAATGGTGAGTGGTCGACGGACTTAATATGTCCTAGAAACACAGGGTTGAAGTGAAAAGTGTTGGTTGTATCTCTGACTACTCTGTTGATAGAATACTGGTTCATGGAATTCATGTGAAGAATAAAGAAGCATAGCATATTATTTGGCACGTGCGAAATTAAATCAGAATTAACTTTTTAATGATTAAAATGATCAATTCAGAGAGTTTAACCATCCTCTTGGCAATTAAAATGACATCTGAAAAGCCATTTGACAGCTGTTTAGTTAATTTCTACTATGTTGAGACTTCGAGAGGGAAGACGAGAATACCATTTCAATGACCGGAATGGCCTTGAAATGACCTCTGAGGTCTCGGTAATTACGCAAGACACGTATTCTATTTCGTAATGATGAAGGACCTGTTCGCTTAACACTGCGATTATAGTTTCCTTGAGTTGCGCAACGTACAGCACGTACGGCATTACCAAATGTACAAAATGTTCATGCAGAGTTAAAAGGCCACAAAGGTAGTTAGTATAAGCTTGTTCGTTATAGTTTCAAAGTTACAGACTGTAGCATATTCATATAGTCAAGTTGTCGTTTACGGCAAATTAAGGCTGGTTTCAATTACGCGTGTAAGTGAAATCCTACTACATTCGTGACTGAAACAAGCTGGGAAAGAACCGACCAGAACCTAGGCATGACTGCTTTTATTTGTATTATTAATCTTTTTTTCGGACGAGACTTGTAAGGTCGGTTCTAGATTAAATTATCACCACCATTAATTATTAAATCGGAAGTGAATAGGCAATAATTAATAGGTGTAACTGGTTTGTAACAGCTAAACATTTTGCCATATAAACATAACTGGTTTTTAATATTTTTTATGTGAGAACGTGGCAAGCGAGCTGGTTCACCCGATGTCATGGGATAACCGCCCCCCATGGACATTTGCAACACCCGTAGGGTTGCAAATGCGTTGCCACCTTTGAATAAAGTTGGTCCCGGCTATCTCATTTACCAGGCGAAACGCAAAAAAGTGTTATATCACTTCCACTTCACGCCGGTCTTTTGCAGGTCGTGGTACTTACCCGGACGAACCTGACCATTCGTGCAACAGCAAACTGAACTGTTGCGTGGCCCCATCACAGTTAAGGTTTAGGTGCCCTATACCAATTAAATGTTTTGCCTATTTTCTTGCCAACGACAGTCTATCAAACTGAACAATGATATTTCGAAAAAGAGAACAAAAGCACGGTGGTAGGGCCACGCAGCAGCCTCGGCTGTTGCACGAATTGGCAGGCTCGTCTGGGTAAGTATCACGACCTCACAGAAGACCGGCGTAGAGTGGAAGTATAATACTTTCGCGTTTCGTCTAGTGAGTGAGGTGGCCGGAGCCCAATTTACAAAAGGTTGTCAACACATCTGGAAAGCTCAAGTATAGCAGATGTCCATGGGCGGCGGTATTCACTTAACATCAGGTGAACCGTCTGCTCGTTTGGCAACTTTTCACATTCACATTCAACCGCAAAATGGTTTTGGTGGTGAAACAACTCCCCCTGTTCTGTAAAGAGTGGTCTCTTTACAGTATGGGGGGAGTTGTATTTGACAGCACCATCGGGAACCGCAGGAACATGCGGGGAGTGGAGAGAGGGTAGGGGGGGGGGATGTCGGAAAGCGAGGCAACGCGGCCTCGCTTATCACCGATTGCGCCACTGCTTCCGGCTGGCCAGCGCGTTCCCGTTGCGATAGCGCGCTCGCTGACAGGGAACATTGCGACAGTTGCGACTTATATATTCTTACCGACCTAGAGCAAAAACTCACGGAGGCTGCCGTTGCTGAAAAATACCAATCAGATAACTCTGATGCCTCACAGAAGTTCGGCGCAGTATACAGATATACACAACGCATCGCACCTGTATCATGCCCCGTGTTCTGGCTTTCTATTTATGTCGGGGTCTCACTTGACATCGAGTAAAACGCTCCGTATGTAATGTAGAAAGAAACTTCATTCGAACTTGAATTCAAATTAGCTATTCCTATTAACAATTAGGTAGGAGCACGCAGCAGTTGGTGCCACGTTACCAGATCGAGCAGGAAGTACCACGTTCTCACAGGAGAACGGCGTTTAAGTGTAAGTGTTATGCCTCTGTGTAACGTCTGGTGAGTGAGGTAGCCGGGGCACACTTTATTGGAAAGGGAGCGCATTTGCAAGCCTATGGGTGTTGCAAATTTGCATGGGAGGCGGTTATCAATTAACATTAGACGAACCACCACGCTCGCTTGCAACCTTCTCTCATGAAAAAAAAAAACTCGAGTTTTCTCTCAGTCTCCGCTCTAGCCGCATGTTCTGCGCCGTACGACAATTGGATCAGAAACGGCTCTTGCGAGTCGTTCACCGCGAGTGAGCCGCTCCGCGATCGAGCCGACCAGCTCGCAGCCGGGCCCGCACCGCCGTGCGACCGTTTAATTGGCGCCCAATCGTCGTCGAGGGCGTAATTGACGGCTTCCCGTCCCGTGTCCGGTGTCCGGTGTATAAACAGCGGCCGGCATCGGCTTAGGGCCGGCGGCACATCGAGCGAAATGCAGAGCTCACCGCAATCGCAGACTTCTATCTTGCGAACCGACTTCAAACTCGATATTATGAAATTTCTACTGTGTTACGTTACTGTTATATATTTCGAACCATATAGACCACCAATCCGCAATGGGGTCGCGTGATGGACTATGCCCTGATACCCTATGTAACAGAGGAGGCCTTTGCCCATCGTAGCGTGGGACATGTACAGGCTGTTACTTTACGTTATCACCATCAGAGAAAACAACTAGTTCGTTAATTAATGAAAACGGTGATACCTATGTGCACGAAAACATGGATGCGCGCCGCATAACGCCAAGTATTGTCATGTTACAAAGAAGCCCACTTCTTCATACTCATGTGTTAACCGACCTCGATATAAAAAAAAAATTGAGCTGGCTATTATCACCCTGGCTACCCCGGCTACCTCACTCACCAGACGAAACGCAGAAGTATAACACTTCTTTACGCAGGTCTTCTATTAGGTCGAAGTACTTACCCGAACGGACCTGCCCATCCGTGCAACAGTTACCACTGTTGCGTGGCCCGACCACGGTTGACTTCGATATTGAACGACAGCAAAGTCGACAAATGCTTAGGCAGTGAAAATTCCTACGCCGCTCCGCTAGGTGTATGCGAACCCTTAGAGTTTAGCAGTTTGGTCGTATTCTTTAGACGCGTGGGCAAAAGCGAATATGTATGCGTCATTTTAATACATAACCAGAAGTAGTGGTAGGGCCCGTTGCGTGGCCCTACCACTACTTCCGGTCATCGCTGTTGCAGGAATGGGCAGGTTAGTCCGGGAAAGTTTTTTTTTTAAATTAAAAACTGGCTAGCAATTGACTGCCATCCCACCTGATGGTAAGCGCACTAGCTCAGTAGAAACCTATTCACTCTTGCCTTGAAGACGCCTACGTCGTATTCGGACGGAAGGACGCACGCCGGCAGGCTATTCCATTCCTTAGCTGTACGGATGATAAATGAAGAAGCGAATCGCTTTGTTGTTGTACGTAAATACTACGACCTTATAGAAGATCGATGTGAGGTTGTCTTTCTGCGTTTCGTTAGAAGTTAACATCAAGAGCTTTTCTGTCCGATAGAAGCCGTTGGAGAACCCAAAAGAACGGTTTGCCTCAAGGCAGTGTCTTGGCGCCTATCCTATTTAATGTGTACAACCAACGACCAACCTTCATCTTCCCGCTTCATATATGCAGACGACCTCGGTCGTCATGTTCGTCCTCACGATGAAGAGCTCGTGAAAAATCCATATTGATAATCATAACTTAAATTTTAATCATATTAAAAAATAAAAAATAAGTGGTGTGTTAAATTAACAGATGCTTTCGGATCCTAAAAATGAACATTTATCCCCGATAATTTAACAATAAATTCCCGAGTGGAACAATATCGTAGAAAGTCAGGTGACAAGCACGTCAGTTTAAGTTTACCGTGAACTTTGCTTAAGGTTATATTAAACCTTAAGCAAAGTACCCGGTTAACGTCTAAGTTATTACACGAGTAAGCTTTTTAGCGAGGGGCTCGTATCGCAAACAAGATTATGCAAGTTGCCATAATCCGAAGAGACGTCTCGGAAAGGCAACATGGTGGATTAACAACGGCTTATTAGAAAGCCTCGAACTGTCTCTGTAATTATTTGCGCGAATTGAACTCTACGCCCTTAGAATAAGGACCGACGCTGTTGGAGGACAAAGAATTGTTCGCAACTTTTATTTTGCTCTTCGATTCGGACAATCTGAACTCTACGCCTTTCGAAATAAGGGTAGCAGTGAAGACAGCGGACGGTGTTGCGGCGTTTGGACCGCAAAGAATTCTCAAATGCAACGATGCGGAACCAGTAGACGGTACAAATGGAGACGAAACAGCGAGGCTTTGTCGCGGGATCAATCGAGCCGGGTACGCGTTATTATATTCTCCTTCCGCGTCGCATTGTTCGAGACGGAATGTTTAGAGGAAGCTAACGCGCCTAGAGAGATGTCATCAGATCGATATTTACAATTTCTAAGGTACCTAGATACGTTAACAGCAAACGTAAACAGCAAACGTAAACATGAACGTAACAATTCCAAGTGACTTCTATTACAAGTAAGAATAAAAAACAGACACAATTTTTGTACAACCTAACGGATGACGAGTGCTAAATCGATACAACGGCTAATTTAATTACTTGTAAAACGAAAGAAAACAAATCTTAAAAAACCGGCCAAGTGCGACGGACTCGATAAGTTCCGTACCATTATCTGTGAAAACGGCAAAAAAATATATTTTTTTTATTATTTCGAAAATAATAACAAAAAATATGATATATAAAAATAATAGGTTTCCTCACGATGTTTTCCTTCACCGCGGAGCACGTGATTAGTCAGCACTTAAAGTTAAAAACTTCATTGGCGCCGGCACCGGGGATCGAACTCAGGTTGCTCGAGTATATCGAATTAAAGGCGAGCACCCGGACACTGAGCTATCACGGCTCGTATTGTCATAGCGGCTGTCGAAACACATCATCTTTTGAAATTTCAACTGGCTAAATATCACGGTTCATGAGATAGGTACAGCCTGCTGACAGATGGACGGACGGACGGACAGACAAACAGACAGACAGCCAGCGGAGTCTTAGTTATAGGGTCCCGTTTTACATTTGGGTACGGAACCCTAAAAGTAGTGTAACAATGTATAGCAATGCGTTACATAACGTAACACAGCGGGTTTTCATAATTACGCCGTCAACATCGTCCTCTTTCGACTTTCATGATGAGTATCTACACTCTTTCCAACCGATAACAATATGGGAGTTTACCGTTGTATACATTTAGACACATTGTTATCGAGAGTGAGTAGGATATTACTGACAAAGTTTATTTACCATCTACGAATACATAATAAGCAAGAATTTGCCAGATCGTAATGAGGGAACAACATGATTGATGATTTCATCTACAAATATCCAGCACTTGGCTACCACACACCATCAGATGATAAGATAACAAATACAGATTATATACGTGTTACAAATACAGTAAATAAAACAATAATTGTTCACGACCATGGCGTAAATGACACAGAAAACTAAATATTGTCGCCAAAGAATTGGATGTCCGATTGACCACTGAACGATGTCTAATATAAATAACAGAGTCAGCTGCTCGACATACGACCCTTAGATACCACTCCCGCCTTAAGTCACCTTATAATCGAAGACAGAGACTGCCGTCTTACTCCCCAAATTCGATTCGAATTTGTTTTTGTTTTAGATTCGAACTCGATTTGAAAAGCACACTCACCAACCGAATCGAAACTAGAAACAAGATCGTACAAAATCAAATCCGTTAACTGTATCCGTCCTATTACGTCACAGACAAATGTTCCATGTTTATGTTTATAACAATTTTCTTAGATAATTGGTTAATTTTTTTCGAAAAACTATTCGATCTTGAGTTCTAATTAGAGTCACCACTCGATTGTGCGCTGGCGTCAGATTCAGTGGTACGAAATGCCATGAATTCGAGTCAAATTCGATTCAGAACTCGAATCTGTCGGTATTGGGACCGCTGCTATCACCATAGTGCCTGGCCCAGCGAATGCCCGCAATGGCTAGCGACTCGACCCATTAGCGACGGCGACCATCGACTGCCGTCACACACCGTCAAGGGCCGCGTGGCGAACTGAGTCAGCTCCTATCGAGTGTTTTTATAGAGGATTCCGACATTCCGCCGAGGCGAGCGGGGACGCCGGCGCGAGCGCGATCTCTCGACTTACGGTCGTTGAAGTCCTGATAAAGTCTATCGTTTTCGTGTTTTTATCGCTTGGAAGCTTATAAATATACAGAGGCTCTAAGATTAATCGATGGGAATTCTCTAGCAGATAGTGAAGGAGAGACAAGTAGTCAAGTTCACCGCACCATGGCTTTATATTGTATGTAATTGCACATTGACAATGTTTGTAAGTTTAACCCCTCACAGACCAAATATGCATTGTGTTTATATTGAGTTCCCGTTACTTAAAGGATATGTTCTAATACTATAAATCGAACGTTCAACACTGATTTTCGTTTAATTAGTACACAAAAATTCTTCAGTATGTTGATTCGTTTATGAATGAAAAATTCAAATGAAAAGAAAAATTAATTCAACAAATATCTATACGGAATTAGGTTCTAATACATGGTCTCAATATAAACTTAAAGTTATGGGAATTCAATTCGGGTTCAAAGCCAAATATCATTATTCAATATACATAGCATTACACTTATTGATAGTTATAAATGTATATGTACAATATACATAATACATAAGCTGTAAATAACAAATGTATAATATATGTATATATGGCTCGGTATCTAAAGTTAAGCTAATGGCTTTAGCGCCATGAAAGTGGGTTTGATTCCCACACGGGACAAGTATTTGTGTGACCCACAGATAATCGTTCTAGATCATGGTATGTTTACTCTCCAGGGAGGTTGATGTCAAGCAGACGGCCGGTCGTAAAAAACCTAGCCAATTCCACTACAACATGATTCGTATATTGTGGCGACCCGGCCTAGGACAAGAGAAAGAAAGTATGCAATAAGTTATGAGTGTATTAATTCAAACTCTATTACAATGAAGGCTTCTATATTTTTACTACGATTTTGCATTAAAACTGTTTATACTTTTGCGTTTACATCAGTGAGTGAGGTAGCCTATCGCTCACACTCAGCGGTTGGCAACTCGCCAGAGGGATTCTGTTCTAAGCGTCGATATGCGATGATACCATACAGGATCGTATATCTTAGTTTAGAACATAAATTACAAAAAGTTAAGTGCACCCGTTTCAGCGAAAAAATGGTCATAACAGACGGACACGAATACAGATAGACAGTTGGAAAACAAAGAAACCTTTTACATTTTCCAATCATCGATTGAGAAACGGAATGTAAAGGGGGATATCATAAAACACCATTTGAATACACTCAATGCTATAAATAAGAAACAATAATTTGAACTGTCTCCGCATAAAAACGTCCGCCTCGTTCGGCCGCCAACGCAACACTGACCTTATGTGGTTTTCAATTGAAAATTAGCCGTCGATTTCCAACCACCCACCGAATTGTGTCGAAAACGGCAATGCGTAGGTGCCGTTTGGGACGTAATTGATGACGTAAGATAGTGGTAATGGGTTATCGAAGGTCTTTCATTGTAAGACTGGCTGGGGGCATTGGCATATCATGGCAAACATAAAATGGCGCTGGTATTCAAAAGTATACCCGAATGTGACTAAAAAAACCCAATGACCACAGAAATTTGTTATGAAATGCCATACATGTGCTGCTTGATAGTTATTAAAAGGTCAAACTAAGGTCAAACCAAGACTTATCCAAGACAAGGAGATTTTTTTTGATCGATTCTAAAAACGAGATTTAATTCAGAAAGGCAATTATTTTATGTGGTCCGTAACTCTGTGGGCGGCAGACAGATCCCAGTGACAGGTTTTTTTTTTATGTGAGAAGATGGCAAGTGACCA